GAAATTGAATGTGTGTTTAGCAGTGACATGTCTCTGTCAAGCTTTTTTATTTACAATGAAACAAGCTAATTGCGTGCACAAAATAGGATAACAGTGTGTAATTATGATATAATATGTAACGATAAAGTTTACAGTGGCTTCATGAATAGATTAAAAACATAAAAAAGCAAAACACACCTGATGAGCATTTTTGTTCTTCATTTTCTAGAAGCAGAGTCAAAAAACCTTGCTGTATTTTTTTTGTAGTTAATTAAGAGTCGGTACATCACCATCTTGCTCCAACCCAAATGAACGCACCTGATTTTGTAATTATGATTTCCCAACTTGTAAATACGAACTTCCCAGGAGCACTTGAACGCACAGTAATGCTGCCTTCACGTGGTATTGTAAATTATCGTAAATACAAGTTTCCCACTAGGAAGTTGCATGTGAATGACCCCTAAAGTTGTAATTACAATCTCAACTCCGAGATAATTTTGATAACTGATAACTGAGTTTCCAAGATGGGACGAGTCCTAAACTTTCAGCATGGTGGAGGAGAGTACAGTTTCTACACTGAATGACAGGTTTTATTCTTTTTCTTGCTGTATTGGTCATATTCATTTATGTAGATCAGCAACCATTCTGTGCATTTTGTACATTTTTACACCATGAATATAGCTTGTATTTGACCAAAATTCCATTATCGTCAGCAAGCTAGCTATCTGAGTAATGTGTGTTATGGTGTCAAAATAAAAGAAAAAGAAAAAAGATAATATATATGAATGAACCTGGTGTCATCCGTGTTTCATGTTCTTTTTGACAACAAAGCATGTGAACACAGCATACTCGTAATTACCATTCAGAAGTGAGAAGTAGGATAATTCCGATAGCATGTGAAGGGAGCATTATGCTGCGTTTGAGGCGAGGATGTAAATTGTAATTCCTCACCTACAACCAGTAAAAAAAAAAACCACAGAAAACGCCCCTGGACTTGAAATTTCAACTCGTCAACTACCGGTTCCTTCCCTGGTTACCGTTTACAAAGTGACTTCAGATCTCACTTCTCTACTTTTAAATGAGTTTATAGCAGTACAGACATGGCGCTTGGTTAAATCTATAACATTGGCTATACTAATCATTGTTTTGAGAAGGTAATCATGGAAGTTAGAGTTATCACCCATATAATTAATGTCAGCTGGTTGGCTTGTTGCTATTCTCCGCTGTTGCTGCTGTGCTGCAAATTTCCGTTTAAAATGTTGCATGAGTGTTTGTTAGTCATTATAGTAGAACAGAACCAGAAGCCACTCAGGCCTGTAACTGTAAAAGTGCGGTTAAAGTAGCTGTTTATGAGCTTTACATGCTCTGACACACTTTCATTATTATTATTTATTTTTTTTTACCCACTTTGCACGTCAGATGTGCTGAGGTGGGAAATGACATCATTACAACTTGCAAGTTCCCACTTACAAAGCACCATGCATGCAGCAATATTACTGCATTCATGACCAGGTGGAAACTGGGAAGTTTCGGAATTCACAATAGGAAAGATCCGTTTGAACGCATCTCCAGTTCGTGATTCCTACTCTGAAATTTTTTCAAGAGCTCGGACTTCTCTGAGTTGCAGGTCTGTGATGTCACTTCAAGATGGCGGCATTCATAGTGAAAAATAAAACAAGAAATAACAGCGTGATTTAAGTTTTTTAAGCAGTCGTTTGACTTTCTGTTTGTATTTGAAATCACTAAATACTGGGTGATACTTTGATAATTGAAATGTTAATTTGCTTTCTGCAAGTTTTTTTTTTTTATCAAACTGCTCTATCATGTAATTTTTAGTGCTGTTACCAATGAATTATCACATCTGCTTTAAAAAGAAATTAAGCACTAACTCTTTAATTCCTGTTTAACTGCAGCTTAGCGTGAGTATTCATTATATTTTCGTCTTCAGACGTCTGAGTTCATGTGAATGCTCCAAAGTGGGAAATAGGAGGTTCGAGTTGGAAAATTCTGAGTTCCTGGTTGTCATGAATGCAGCATATAGGCAGCATCGTCGACAATAGACGAACTTAAGCATAAGGAATAATGATCAGGTTGCTCTGTTGGCTCCTAAAAACAAAAAGAGAGCAAGAGATTCTTTTTCTCAGTCGCCATTTAATGTCATATTAATGAGGAATCCAACACAGAAGTCATACAGACTGCAAACGCTGAACTCAGAGTTCCAGAATGCAGTGCAGCTCTACGATGCAGTTGTGCTGATTTACGGCTAAAACTCAGCTCGGCTAGTTGGCGATTTACCAGATGCCAAGTGTTGATGCCACTATTAGCACGGAGGTTGATGCTTTGGAACCTTGTGTATTTGAGCAGAATATAATTCCAGATGAAGAAGTGAGAACGGCATTGTGGGTAATGTGGGAAACCGTTAACCGGAGTGAAAATAGACCAACATGTTGATAAAATAAGTTTTAAACCAAAATGTCAACTCAGAATGATTCCATTACAGAATGATGACATGTCAATTATAGAGATTAATATTCGTGTCATTCAGGGTGTTTTTTTTCTCTTTTAATGCTATGATACAAAAATGTCTAGGTTATACATGAGGTTATAAGTTATGAGTTAAGGCTGATGAAGTTTAGTCATGAGCCAAATGTGCGCACATTGTTTTGGCCTGGTTGGTTGGATCTGTTCTACACTGTGGAGAGGTAAATCAAGCACGCACACACATATGAGGAGAGAAAGTCATGACCAGATGCCTAACGGAGGACTAGAACGGCTTTGCAGAAACTTATAATAGCAGCCTAATTATTTGCAGCATTCAAATATGATGTATTACATACAAGTGTTGTGTTTGAATCAGTGACCTATAACCACTCATCAGTGTGGACAGTTGCAGTGCACAGAAAGACTCATCTGCACATTGTCTCACTTCTGCAAATGCCAGTATTTAAATAACAGTTAACAAACGGTGACTTGTGTAGCGCTGCTGTAGTGTTAATGGTGTATTGAGCTGGAACAGAGCTCTGCTTTTAGTCGCGGTGATGTCATGGCTGGACAGTGGATAAAGCTAGCTGTACGGAACAAGTTGTCAGGATGGAGGCCCGTGCCAGTCGGGAGGATGGGGTTAGGAAAAAGTAGTGTCAGGGCTGCTCAGTTTGTGGCTTTTATGAGCCACAAAGCAGATTTCATTTGTGCAAAGGCCGTGTGTGGTCTAGTCATAGGCTTATTTATTGCAAGTAGCGGTATGGAGAGATGGAGCAGCATGCACATCTTGGATGTGAGCAGGCTGACGCTGGCGTCCCAGAGGAGTGTTGCTGCTACAGCTGGTGTCTTCAGCTATAGGATGTGTTTCCAAAAAAAGGTTCATTATATACACTCTGCTGTAAGACAGCAGCACTCCATAAGTCAAGTTCAAACTTTCTGAAGGTTTTGTGAGTAGTGTAAGAGTGATATGTCGGTTTAGTGATGTGCGTGTGAGCGTGTGTGTGTGAGCGTGACGTTCTCTCAGCTCTGCTCTGGACAGAATCAGTATCACATCCTGTCATAGAGTTTTCTCCTTATTCTGGACTCACACACACACACACACACACACACACACACACACACACACAGAGAGACACTGTACTCTCGCTTACAGAGACAGTTCACATCCCAGGAGCCCTCCTAATAACACATAAACACAACTTATGTCCACTAGCACACATTCACGATGTTCTTGCCTACTGTAAAAGCTTCTTTGGGAGACTCTTAAGTTCACTCCATTAACCAGTGTGTTCAGATGGATAACTAATGACAGCTGAGCTGAACTGTCATCAGCCATGTTTGTTTGAATCTAAAGTCAAAAATTTGGGGTCATTGCTTGGGTTCATGAGCATAATCTGAAAGTGTGCGGTGTTTTATTCTGGGAAAATCTTATAGTGTGGAGGTTTGATGACTAAAATATCATCCATGACAAAAAAAACCCCCTGAAATCTGTCATTATGTCTGGAGTCTGAGTTTCAGTGTTGGTTAGGATTGTGTAAATGTTATAGTGTGGCTCAAGCATTAAAACAGGAACAGCAGTAAACAATCACAATCATGTAAATGATTTCTGTTTTGATGAAATGAATTGCTGCCTACTAAAACAGTGTTTTGATACTATTTTGCTAAATAATTGTAATCATGCCTTAGGAAGGAATAAAACACAACAGGGCGGTGTGTTGCGTCCCATCGTAAAGCGGAGGTACTAGATACCATTACCACCCTGAAGTCGCTTATTGTTTATTATACAACAGTTACTTCCGGTCTGCTAATTTAATTGGTCAAGCAGTGTTCCCAAGAGTGCTTATATTTAGTATAACAGCACTGAGATGTTTCACTGTGTGTATCACTCCGCTCATCTGTGTAAAATTCCACTTCCTAGCAGGAAACAGTTGCTACAGTAGTGTTAGCGACGTCCTCAGTGGACATCGTAAATGCTACTTTTCAGGAATATAACTTTTGACTTTAAATATGAAAGCTCATCAGATGAAGATGAAAAGGAAGAAAGGAAGAGAATTTGACCACACTGTAAAGCCTAATGTTGTCTTTTAGATAAACAATCAAGTAATCATGACTAAACATTACTTAAAATGTTGCGTTTTGTGCCCATAAATCAAAAATCTAAGTTTGTTTAACTTATTTACCTACAAAATACATAAACTTAAGATTTCAAGTGTTATGAACTCAAAATCATGATTCATTAAAATAGCTCACACTGGGCTTTCTGTGATGTGATTGGCCGTCCTAGGAGTTCTGCCTGGCAACAAGAGAACTAATGCTCTGATTGGTAGATAATTGCAGAAGGCGGTCCTCTTCATCGAGTACGTGTGTTATTACAAAGAAATGGCAATCGTGTACAGGATGTTCTGTAAATAAAGTTACATTTTCCTTAAAAAAAAGTGTTAATTTCCCCTATTTATGGAGACTTTTAGTACCTCCTTTATTTAAGTACGATTGAAATGAACATGAAGTTAAGTGAACCTAATTATGTCAGCTATCCTGGTTTCCTGATAGACTAGCGGCTAGCATGCGGTGCTCTGACCGCCGCGGCCCGGGTTCGATTCACTGTCAGATAAATGATAAAATACACTATATAAACACAGAGTTCAATAAAATTAATTATGTAAGTGCACTGTATGAACACCAAGTTCAGTGACCTTAACAATTTAAGTACAGTCTACATGAGCATCAAGTTAAGTGAAGATACACAAGTTTTGGGAGACCCCATTACTCGATTAAACTGAGGGAAGGAGTTTACTCAATCAGTTGAGTACAGTCAACAGTGCAGAAGCACCTTTAACGGGATTGTACAAATCAATGTGAGCTAACTATCCAGAAAGTCGAGCTAGAAAGTGAGTGCAGCTTCTTCAGGATCTATTTCCGCTAGCGGAGCAAAAATAAACGGAACATTTGGCCATATTGTGTCTGAAATGTTACTTCCTCTATATTAATTTCTTGTTTATAGATCTGTTGTCACGCGGTTATACTGAATATCGGCACGGCTGTGATTAGCTACAGTACGGTGCCTATACCGAATCACAGCCGTACCGATATTCAGTATAACCGCACTCTTGCTCGTGTGATATTGCTTAAATAACAGAACGTCCCAGAGTGTTTTATTCCCCTTATACCACAGCGATTATTTCAATTCAATTAAACAATGATACAGTACTTTTTATTTGTTTATAGTTTGTAATGTTGTGGAGTGTCCATGAAACGTAATTTTCTATCATCACTTGCGAAATTAACAAGACAAAAAAACTGCAGCTTGTCATGTTATTGAGAAACCACAAAGACCTCGTTCCTGAAGACTTTTCTGCATCAGAAAACTTAAAGTTGCAGTGTTACCTCTGACTGGTACAAAGCACTGACACTGGAGACTCCTTCCAAAAGTGTTCTAGTTCTCCTCTCAGTAAACTTCACAGTAATTTAATACAAATTACAATTACACATTTTAAAAGCCTGTTTATATAGATTGTCTGCTATACAAGTCTGGGCAGTACAAGAACACAAATTATTTAACCAGCAGTTTGACAATTTATAGGTCCTTTCTGAAAGGTACACACACACACACACACACAGAACCCCAGCCAGGACAGTAATATACTGTACAAATGCAGTATTTTTTACCTTGAGATGTAGGAAACTTGCATTTGTAATGTTCTGACAGAGATTAGGGACTAATCAGATGTAACGCTACACGGAGCAGAAACATTCTAGCTGTAATATACGTCAGTCTAAAGAGCAACGTGAAAGGGAAAGAATGATTACGTTAGTACAACATCTCCGTAAAGGTTCATTTATTTTTCAAAACTTTCTCAGCGTGTAATGCTCCAGAGCATGTTCTCTAGAAGAGGAAATGCTAATTGGTCGTGATGTTGTATGAATGAACATAGTGGGAATTCTGCCACACAGGAAGTTGGAGCCAGGCCTGCGCCGCCTCTAATCTAGTTAACATAATGAAAAGCAGGAATGCATTTACTTTCCCTGTAGAGAGTGCTTAAAGCGTAAATCCACAAGCAGCGCTCATGCGCAGAACGCTGTAAACAAAGACTCCAGAGCGCTGCACCAGTGAGGAAGACTGCCTTTATTGCCGTTTTACACACATTCACACACACACAAACACACACACAAGTGTTTTCAATACAACGTAATTCATCACAAATCCCAGTTTGGAAGGAAACTGAGGTCAGGACACAGGGTGAGCCATGGGATCATGCTGCTGGAACAGCCGAGGGTTAAAAGCCTCGCTCAAAAGCCCAACAGTGGCAGCTTGTGCTCAGGGAGCTGAACTCTCAACCTTCTGTTCAGGAGCCCAGAGCTTATACTGCTGCCTATTGTTCTGTTTACAAATTATTAAAAAGTAGTTTTAGTGTCATTTTGTTTTGTTTTTTCATGGATTTATTATTGATTAACTAGGAGTGGTCATACCTGGCTATACTCACAGGACCTAATTAATGAAATATCAAATAAAGCTCTCATGTTTAATACACGGCCCGAATCAATATATAATCCTGCATGTGATCCGTGATGATGCGCAGACCTGCAAACGTTTTACGCATTTTAACATCAGGACTATGCTGAAATGAGTAAGCACTCAAAAATACGCAAAATCTTATTCCCCCCCTCCAGTAAAACAGCACATGAGCCAATCAACATGGTAATCTAGAATGATTGACAGTTTTGTAGGTGTTTTGAGCTGTCTGATATTAACTGGCACCTTGGAAGCCCCGCCCCTTTCCACCATCTCACGTTAGTAATCTCTCGTCTCCTCTCGATTTTCCTTGGAAAGATGTAGCGATGCAGCACCGTTGCTTTCTGTCAAGGTAAATGGAGAATATTTTGAATTCCTTAATATGACATAAAAGCTATCAGTGTATGGTTAATGTTAGAGAATTATATAGTTATATGCAGAAGAGGATGTCACAGACAAATCTCGAAAATAGTCAAAAATGGCACTTTTTGGGCTAAAAGAGAAGACTAAAAAATTAAATAGGATTACAACAAAGTGTAAAGTCTATCATGCTGCAAATAATTTTAATGGTCATGATAATTAGAAAGTGATTAAAAAGCCTTTGCTCTTCGCAGACTGGAATGCGTCTTAGATCAGGTCAAATGATTGACCTCATGTAGTGAGAAACTCCGTAGGTGCTTTAGTTACGTCACTGTAATTATAGTTCACCCAAAAATGATAATCCTGTCAATTACTCACCCTCATGTCGTAAGACAAACCCATAAGACCCGGAAACGCTGCACTGTTTACAGCAGAGGAAGTTTCTCAAGGTTCTGGCATCCAGGAAATGCACACTTCAGCACCATTTTGGAAAAATATAAACCAAGACCTAAAGCAAAATCAACTTAGAATGTAACGAACGAAGCAAACACAGCATGCATACGCGCATCGGAGATCTATGCAGAAGTGAAGATATTTTGTGAATAAAGACTTAATTTTAGTTTTTTGTGCACGCAAAGCATTTGTATCGCTTCATAAAATTGGGATTAGACCACTGGAGTCACATGGATTACTTTTACGATGCCTTTATGAACTTCTTGGAACTTGAAAGTTTTGGTTACATGGACTGTCAATGGAGGGACAGAAATCTCCCAGGTTTCATTAAAAATACCTTCATTTGTGTTCCAAAGATGAGCGAAAGGCTTATGGGTTTGGAACAACATGAGGGTGATGACAGTTGATGACAGAATTTTCATTTTTGGGGTGAACTACCCCTTTAAGGTCATTACCGTGCTTTAAAATGAGCACATGTAGCACATGAGGCAGTTGTTTGGACCTGAGCAGTAAGTTGTGCTTCAGAATTCATCCTGAAAGTCTACAGACACTTCATCAGTACATGCGTGGATCAGTTCATACGCCACCATGGTACAGTTCCACAGATGAGCTTAGGGCTGCACACTTTAATCACGTTGTTATTGTTTTTTGTTTTACCTTTTGCTGTTAATAAAACATGTCTAGCTAACATTAGCTAATTATGGGTTTTTGGTGCATTAAATAATGAGCGCCTCATTCGTATGTTTTAACTTTCTGACCATTTACAATACATTGATCATTCTCTGCTTTCCTAACATGAAACTGCAGACAAAGATATGTTTATGAGGTTAAATAATAGCCATGATTGAACACTACGGTGCTAAAGACGGGTCTTATTTTGGTTCAAATATTTTTACATTTGAAAGAATATAGTAAGTAAGTCAGTCATTTATTTATAAAGCACATTTAAAACAACCAAAGCGCTATGCATAGTTAAGATCGCATAATAGCATAGTAAAAACTATAAAAATAGGTATAACAACAATAAAAGAAAGAAATATAAAAGAAATACAAGCGTATTGGCACAGCAGGTCAGAGATGCAGGTTTGAGCTAAAGCATTAAGAGAGTTTGTTTAAAACAAACAATAAAACTTCATCTGGATCGTGGACAGGAAGCCAGTGCAAGGATGCCGAAACTGAAGGGGTGATGTGGTCTCTTCTAAGTGCCAGAGATAAGCCACAGCCACATTTTGTACTAATACAGACGATCAACAGATGCCTTGTTGCGATCGAGATGAAGTGAATTGCAGTAATCTAAACGAGAGGAGATAAAGCCATGTCTGACTTTTTCGAGGTCTTGAAAAGAGGGGAATGGCTTGATTTCAGAGATTGCTTTTTACAACTGAGTTGATTTGCTGATCAAATCTGAGATAGCAGTCAAATAAAAAGCAGAGATTCCTATATTCCGCATATATAATATATAAAGGTAACTGCTTTTTTTAGTGATCAGATTGGCTGAATAATTAATAACTAATGATTAGAGTATTTTGCCAGAGTTTAGTCGTTATTGTGCTGCTCTACAATAAAGATGATGCTCTTTGGGTCTTAAGCAGTTTCTTCTTTCTTTTGCTTTTTTAAAAAGAGGTGGATGATAGGCAAAGAAATGGAGTGTTTTTAATTGGCTGAGTCAGTCACCTGACTTCAACCCAATTGAACTGCTTTTCACTTCCTGAAGACAAAACTGAAGGCAGTAAGACCCACAAACACACAGCAACTGAAGGCAGCTGCATCTCGAGGGAGGAAACTCAGCATGGGTTCCAGACTTCACACAGTCATGCAACGAATTTTCATCCAAGTATTAAAAATAATCCTAATATTTGTGAATGTTAGTTTGTCCAATTACTTTTGAGCCTGTGAAAATGGAGGGACTCTGTAAAAAAATGGCTGTAATTCCGAAATGGTTAATGCAATATTTTTTTGTTAAACCCCTTGAATTAAAGCTGGAAGTCTACACTTCCCATTTGATTGCTTTATTTCAAATCCCTTGTGGTGGTGTACAGCAGCAAAATTACAAAAACTGTGTCACTGTCCAAATACTTATGGACCTGAGTGTATCTGTGCTATATGATATGTATCATGATGTGTAGGTTTGCTTACTACAAACTGTAGTGTTACAATAAAAAGCTGTTAGGAGTAATTATACATTTATTTAATGTGTGCAAAATGAAAAAGTAAATAATTAATAACAATGAAGAGGAAGAAAAATAAAAATTCTCTACATTTTGCACATCTTCCAGTCAGGCTTTGTAA